GAGCTGGTCAAGCCTATGCCCTGAAGAATGGGATTTCACGCGAATTAAAGTTATTGAAATTAATTGAAAATTAATCATTATAATTAAAGCTCTCTCCTCAAACCCATATTTATTAAGCCATTTCATCAAATTAATTAATGTATGTACTCCTATTATATGGATCTCTAGGCCCATGTCCCATTGATTAAATCCTAGTCACGCCGTGTTTATGTGCCATTGCATTTTAAATAGTTTCTATGATATTTTCTTGAGCTTTTACGTATTTTTCAAATTTAATGGAGATATTAATAACTTTTTTTTATGAAAAACAGAAACATAATTAAATTAATTAAAATTTAGTATTATGGATAAATTAAATAATATAAAATAATCCTTTTAAATCACTATTCTTACAATAACTATTAATATTTTAAAAAGTCTATTTTTGTTAATTCTTGGGAGCTTTCTGAAGAATATTCAATTATATTAGTAAATACAAGAAGTGAAAAAAAAAAAAGACTTGAACTATGAGTTATTGTATTTTACTTTCTATGATTATTACTAATATTAAAGAAATATTTTTTTGACGAAAAATATTTGTAAAATTTATCTTCATACCTATTTCTTTTAATTATATTTACCATAAAGTATAATTAAATCTTAATATATATTATTTGTGCGCATTGAATTATAGTTGGTGGAAAAAAATTATTAAAATAAATAATAAAAGTTGAATATATTTTTTTATATTTTTTCCATTATTGAAAATTACCATTAACTTCACTTTTGATGAACAAAAAAATTAAAAACAATTACCACATTTTTTATAAATGATAATATATATATATATATATATATAGACACACACACGCACACTTATTGAATTTTATTCTTACACAATCAAGGATTTTGAATTCTTTGTTGGAAACGTGACATTAAAAGTGACAGAAAATTATTATCTAATTATTTGATTCAGGATTATTAAAAACTTTAATTGTACTAATTTTATTAGAAAATTTAAAAATGAGAGATCGGATATAGCTAAAAAAGATTTCAATACTTATAATATACTCTACTTGATGTAAAATAAATTGTATGATTTAAATATAGTTCAAAGACTTTAATAAGTTCCTAATAAGTGATCTATTTATCATGAGGATTTCTTGGTGTGAATAAATTTTATATTTTAAATTTATTATAAGCTACATGGAATTAAAACAAAGTTGTATTTTTGAAATAAAGATTTTTGTTGTTTTTGTGGAGGAAAAATAATTTATTAAATATTAAAAAGCACTTTACATGTAGATTGCAATTCCATATATTAAATATGAAAGTAAAAATAAAATAAAATTATGGGTAACTCAAAATTAATTGCAAGATGGTCTTTCAAAAACTTAAAAAATTATTAAAATTAAACTAAGATTAATCTTTTGCTAAAAAACTAAAAAATCGGAAATAAAAAAATTGAAAAATTTCTTGAAATGTGTCTTTTAAGAAATAAGAAATTGCATTTTTTATGACAAATTTTTGTGAGGCGGCATTCTCTTAGGACTTTTTAAGACTTAGCCCATCCACTCGGGCTAGGCTCTCTAGCTGAAACCAAAACCAGCACATGCCTGGTCCGAAAGAAACAAATGGGCTTAAGAAAAGAAATAGCCCAGGCTTCCCTAAGCATAACATGCAGCCCACGTTGTTTTTATAAAAGAAAGTCTTTGAAAAGCCTGACCCATAAACAAAACTAAATACTCCTTTTGTCTTTTTGAAAGATCAAAATGAAGAATCAAAACACTCTGCCTCTATCATACAAACCAGACCTGATGTTGCCCAATGAAACTTCATAGTAGCCAAACAAAGCATGCTCCCAACGTCATCATCTAGACTAGGAAGTAATTATCTGTATTATGAAAGCACAAAACAAAACGCATGCAACTCATGACCATGCCACTCGAAAGTGTGTTCTAGTGATTGTGATTTAAAAAAAAAATTAAAATAATATAAAATATTTATAGTTATATTTGAGAGTGTGATGGTAGTTATTTTTTAAAATATTTTTATTTAAAAATATATTAAAATAATATTTTTTAAATTATTTTTAATATCAGTTCATTTTTTATCTAAAACACTAAAAAAATATTAATATGAAGTAAAAAAATAATTTTTTTAAAATTTTTTTAAGAAAAAACTTTTAAAATATAAAAATAAATAGATTTTAAATTTTTTTACTAAATTCTATTAAAAAATATGTAAAAATTATTTCATTCAAGCTTAATTTTTCATTGAATCTAGTTTTATTTATTATCAAACACTTTCCTTTATTTGTTTCACTTCAAACAAAAAAAACTAGCAGAAAACAAAAGCAGCCTAACAGCTCACTCCTTCGTTATGATAGAATTATCGTTTGTAGTCTTTCTAGCCAAGAAAAAAAGGGTCCGACCAAAATAAAAGGAGGTGTACGGGTAAATAATTACTGCCCCCACCATCCATTCCATGATTTCATACTGTCATAACAATCGTAGAACATCAAAACGAAAAGCATTTAAAAATACAGAGAAGGAGCAGAAATCATACCTAGACTAGACTGTGATTGTTATTTCCTTGCTGCTACATCTCTGTCACCTAGGCACATGAAGATTGTCGATGCTTTCTGGAGTTGATGTCCAGGTCTGGGTACAGTATCATGGCTTCTCGGGGTTGTAGTTGTAGGTCTTAGAGCATATTATTTGTTGTTTTTTCTTTTTTTGCTTTTTTTTGCGAAATAATTTTAAAAAATAGGCTGAAACACCCTTGATAATCATTTATATTGTCTTGGAATTAATGTTAACGTCTTTATACCATTTTTAATTATGCATATTGGTTTAACGCAACTGACAAATGATTATAACATAAGATTCACAGGTAATAATGTAAAGTACAGATTAATTTGAAAGAAAAACACCATTGTTGTTGCTTAGTTAATTGAAATAGTTGAGATTCACATTACAGGAAAAAGATAATATATCACATAAATGGATACTAAACAAATTAGGTCAATTTCCTACAAGGATTCCCAGAGATGTGATTTGAGTAATGGTGAATCACGCTCATCAAAAAAAAATATTGGAGAGGCACTCGCAGCAACAACGCACACAACAACGCCAACTGTAGAGGCGCTCGCAGCGACAATACACACAACAGCAACGCCAACTGTGTAAAAAAAAAAAACAACAAAAAAATCAGATATACATAATACATGTATGTATTAAATATATGTATATGTATATGTATGTATGCGCGCCTGCTAATGTGTGTATGCACAATATTCATTTAGATCCACAATTAGAAGAGTAATTATGAAATGTTGAATTACTACCATTTATACCTCTTTTTTTCAGCTGCAGGTGTTGGATCGGAATATTGTGGTGGTGGAGGAGGACGAGGAGGACGATGCGCCTGCTGGCTCGGTGGTGGATATGCTTCTGAAAGATCATGAGCAACCCATCCTTAATCGATGAACTTGATAATTTAATCATGTAAAAGACCAGTAACTTAATCATTTAAAAATAACTTTACCTTGAGATTGGGAGGTACTGTGCTGACTCATTATTTGAAATCTAGACCTCACAGTAAGTAACTTATACCTAGCTAGCTAGGAAAATGTATGTATGTTATGGATAGTGTTGAAGATACTCTACATCTTTCAGCTCCCTACTCTTCAGTTTATATAGCAGCATCCTTCCCCTCCATGTTCAGCACCTCGGCATCATGTATGTGTGAATGCCCTTCGATCATGACAAGCTGTTCATCCTCCATGTGCGTCACCACCCATATTCTTGGCCAATCAAGCTGCTGATGTTAGTGCGTGTGGACACCGACCCTATTAACAATTATTGTACTTAGGATATCTTTATTTTCGTGGCTGTGTTGTGTTTCGTGCATGGAGCCACTACAAAAGGTAAGAAAAAGTAAGAAAAGTTTGTTTTTATGATTGAGTTTTGTATATAATTGGGTATTATTCAATCTTGATCTCAGTTATAATAATTAAAACAGCCATATTCAAATATTTTATACAAAACCTAAGTCATTAATTTTAGTTTTGTTAATGTTGATGAATCCAAAGAAATTTTTTAATTCATTTTGGCATATGTATAGTTTGAGATTATTAATTTTAATGGTGTCTTACTCATTTTTTTTAAAAAAGAGCATAAAATCTTTTATTTTTCTGCACAACCTCAAATATATGGCTAGTTTGAAATAATATTATCTTTTAAAAAGCTATTGCATGTATTGATTTTTACTTTAGCTTGATTCTTCAGTGTCTTTTTTATTGTCTGGAGTTTTATAATCATTAATTCACATATTCGAGATATAATTTTTTAATTCTAAAAGGCTATTGCATGTCTTGATTCTTACTTTAGCTTGATTCTTTAGTGTCTTTTTTATTGGCTGGAGTTTTATAATCATTAGTTCACATATTCGAGATATAATTTTTTAATCAATACAAATGACATTAAATTTTGGTGTTTTGGACACTTATAAAAAATTAAGATTTACTAAGCATATACTTTGTTAATGGTGTCTTGGACAACGAAAAATAAAATAAAATTTAATGGTGTCTTCAAAAATTATAAAAAAATTAATTTTTTGTGTTTTTTTTTTTCAGATTCAAACTCAACATGTTAATATATATGAAGCATATACACTTTTAGCAATTCAAATTAATTAACACAAAAAGTACAAACATTAAAAAATAGGCTAGAATTCTCATTAATATGTTTATTGTTTTAACCTAAATACAAAAGTATTATATATAGACTAAATTAAAATTATTATTTTACTCTTAATAAATAAAAACAAGACAAATATATTTCTTAACATCCATAACCTTGAATATTTTTGAAGTGAAGTGTGTTTGAGATTGTAATAAAAATTATATTTTAAAATATGTTTTTACTTGAAAATATATTAAAATAATTTATATTTTAAAATATGTTTTTACTTAAAAATATATTAAAATAATATATATATTTTATTTTATACATTTTATTTTAATATCAAAATAACTTGAAATTATTTTGATAATCTACCAACAAGATGCAGAACATTCATTAAGAGAGAGGAGAGTTGCGTGATTAAAATAAGCTGATCTTGTTGCTTCTAATAAAGAAAAGTGGCGTTGATTAACAAAGAAGAAACATCAAAACTGTCAGAAAACCTGAGAGGAAGGACACAACACTGAGCCATCAAAAAAGTGAAAAACACCTTGTCCAAGAAGATATGGTTTCATCTGCATTCACCAATAAAGATAGTTTGTGACTGTAAGCTTCAATGAGATAACTTGATAAGTGTTGAACAACACAAAGATAGAAGGAGGTGTTGTCCCCATGATGTGGAGAGGGATGACAGAAGCATAGGAGAAGGAACTAAGGGTTTGGACTGCAGTTGGGAGAAGGAACCAGCAACAATAACTTCTAAGTGGCTGGCTAGCTGGGCTGTAGTGTCGGTTGGATGGGGAAAGAAGACAATAGCAATTGTAAAGTCCATTTAAGAGAGGAAGATAGGAGGCCGATTGTAAGTAGAGAGAGGGGGAGAAGAGTTTTAATGGCGGGAAGCTTTGATATATGTGAGAATAATTGAGAGGCTTAACATAATTGTTAAGATTACCTCACAAAAGTATGATTACAATATTTTTTATATATAATATTTACTATATAGTTACTTTGTATGATTACAATATTTTTTATATATAATATTTACTATATAGGTACAATCTATAATATCTAGATATTTTACACAAAACCTAAGTCATTAATTTTAGTTTTTTTAATGTTGATTAATAAAAAAAATATTCATTTTAGCATGTGTATAGTTGGAGATTATTTAATTTTAATGTTGTCTTACTGAAAATTTCCAAAAAAAAAAACAAAAAACTTGAAATCATTTATCTTTCAGCATAATCTGGAATATATAACCAATTCAAAATAATATTATCTTCTAAAAAGGTACTTCAAATATTGGTTCCTACTTTAGCATGATCCTTTACCATTTCTTTTACTAGTTGAAGTCCTGTAATCATCGGCTTGTATATTTGAGATCTGATATTGCATTGATATTAGATAAAAATATAAGATTTATTAATGTTTTAATTTGTTTTGTTTGTTTTTCTTTTTCATATCTCAATATGTCTTTTTGTATTATTTTCATGGCTATATATTACCTAAATAACCATGTTTTTATTATAAAATTGATGATTATATAAAAAAAAAGAAATTTAATGGTGTCTTGGACAATTATATATATATATATATATATATAAAATATCTCTTAGTGTTTGTGTTATATATATCGCAGAGTCAAACTCAACATGTTAATATATATGAAGCATACACACTTACCAACTACCACGTAAGCTAACACCTTAAAACCTCAAAGATTCGACCACATGTAGTCTATTTCTTTCTATGCATTTGGTTTTCAGCTTTTACATTTTCTTCCCATTTTATGATTTTAATTTTTCTTTTCAACTTGACATTACAATTACGAGTTAATGATATCCGGAAAATCCAAGTTATTTAAAAATAAGAAATAAAGTCAATTTTCAGCAAGGCGCTGGGGCAACGCTGGTCTTAATCTGAAGGCCGATTCCAAGAGTAATTGGATCCAGACACGTCTAAATCCATGATTTTTTTTAACAAGAATTAAGAATGAGCTCGAGCTTTATTAATTTATATTTTATTTTGGAGACTAATAAATCGTGATACGTCAGGAGTGTTACGTAAGCAGGCATGACGCATACACAGCTTCTGTCAGCCCTCATCTAGGGATGGGTTTATAAGAAGCATAAAATACAAATTATATAAAACGTGAGGGTTTGCATATATTATTATTATATTGTTAATTATTTATTGTGAAAACATTTTATTTCCTCTCCTTTTTTTTTTATTGAAACTAGTTGAGGGGTCAACTTTCATATGCCATGATGGTTTTTTTTTTTTTTTAAAATTTATGGTGCCACACAAGCTAATTCATTGTCTCTTTAGCATATGGTGCGACACAAGCTAATTCATTGTCTCTTTAGCACCATCGTGGAAAAATACACTGCTACGACGTATCTTGGGTAGCTACCAGGAAACAACCATAATTTCTAGTCTTCTTCTTCTTCTTCTTCTCCATTTTTGTGTTGCCAGGAAACCTCATTTTAGTTGAATAAGCTTCGAGCTCGTAAGAATTCTTGGTAATCTGTAGACTGATGAACTGCGACCTCCTGAAATTCAACACAGGGCTGATGGTTCTAAGCTATATATTAACCATGGTATGTGTCAAGATTACTTAAAAAATCGCAATAACATATTAAAAAATCGCAATAACATATCAGCATCTCACCTCTCTAATCTGCTCTGATTTAATTGCAATAACACCTAGGGGCGCAGCCCTTCAAAAATAAATAAACAAATCTCAAAGAAATTAACCCACTACTAAGAAATAGCTCAACCTTTAAAATTTAAAATAAAAAAATCCCAAAGATTGGACAGCATCACATTAGAGATTTCCATGCAGGAGGTTTTGATGTACTTTATAGTATTTAACATCGTGTTTCTTTTTATTTTTGAGTTTAAATATATTATTATGAATATGTTTATTTTGATAAATCAATAAATGCAAATACACAATCAATTTATATCACTGAAAATTTCATTTTAAAAAATTAAATAATCAAAAGAGAACAAGAATCGACAACGGCAACGAAAATATACTCGAGCAATTTATATATTGAAAGGGTGGTTAATGTATAAATTATTAAATTCTTACATCCTTATCTCTGATCCTCCATTAATATTGAACGACGTGTATCGCATCAGGAACCAAACACCACTCAATCACTAACAACCCTCAATCCGACGTTAGATTCCTAGTTAATACTGACACAACAGGATTTCAGAGACACTTCAGAACCTGTGGCACAAACACAAGTACTACCACAATCAAATACCTCAAAAAGGTCCAAACTTTGTGCTTCAAATAGTCACAAAATCATGAACTCCATTATTGGCATTGAAATGAGCAGGTCCGTAGTGTTTTCCACAAACATTCCCCTTAAGTTTTCCCAAAAACCCAGATCATTTTCTCTCTTAAATCACTCAAAAACTTTGTGTTCCACAAAGATTTAGTGAGAATTCTCAATGTGGGCTTCAAAGATTTCAGCTTTTGAGCATGAAACTAGCAAGAAATGTGTGTATAAAGGCTGCTTTATCAGAGATGAAGTATCCTAAAGTGGCTGCTTCATCAACTGGGCCTATACCTCCCAGTCAGCTTATTCAAGTTGTTGAGACTGCTGCTAAGACCGGTGCTGAGGTTTGGTTTCTCCCCTTTTAGCTTTTCTTGTGTGGATTTTTTAACTTTGACAGAGAGGCGCTTTGATGGTGTTTCTCTGTGTTTAATTCGAACTTGATTTGTTTATTTATAAGCTGATTGGAATGTGAAATTTATGAGCTTTTGTTGTATTTTTGTTCAATTTCTTAGCAATAATAACTTTATTTCTTCTGAAATTATTTGTTGTTTTAATTAATCTGAAATGCCTGAGTTATGTTCTACTAAAATTAAGGCTCTTTATATATATATATATATATGTTCATCATGCTTTATATCTCTCAAGGATGTGTTGAGTAAATTTAAGGTTTTTTATTTTGTTCTATTATTCGTATGTATTAGACTATATTAAACATCTATGGCTCAATGATTGACTATTGTACATATATCATGTATGAGTAAACTGAACCAAGACTACTATTATGGCTCCGCTGGCAGTTTGCTGAACATAAGTTCTTTTGCTTTAGAGG